CGGAAGATTATTGTTTTGTACTGAACAAACTGTACTTGGCCTTTCACATATGAGTAACGGGTCTGTAAATCCCTTTAAACTACACAGAACAGTAACCACACACACACACAAGCAAACTCTTCTGGTGGGGGAAGGCTTGAGTTACGCTACAACAGTCTTGGTGATTTTAGGGGGGAAAAAAACACTTTTCTTTGTAGGGAAAGTGCGATAAAAATACAATTGTCATCCGTTCGTGCGAAAAGTAGGGCCATGTGTGGATCTGTGGATATCCAAAAGGAGTCAAAATTCTCAACGCATATGCAGGCATGTGTACATCGACAATATTAATATACTTTCCATTATACTGTCAGTAAAAAAAAACTGCAAATTATACCAAGAAATATGTCGTGTATATGTAAAATACGTCCTTTAAGGAGTTTTGTAATTAATGATCGTAATTAGTGGTCAGGCAAGGAAGCAAGTGTTCTTTATAGGGGGAACGACATGTGGAGGGCCCAGAGTTGCGTGACTGTCGTAACCCACCGTGACAACAGATGCATATCGGTTCCACGGACACTGTATGCCACTAATTCTCAAGAACTAATCTGCAATCAAGTAAACCCTTCCGTACGTTCATAAGACCTAGCATCAACGTAAAAAGCACTAAGGCATATGATTACCATGCTCGGTGATAACAGTCTTTAAGTGGAACACTACACAAAATTCTTATAATTCGTGACAAAGCTTTAGTGTTTCAAAATATTACAAATTGTATGCCTTAACCTGAACTCCAATTGGAAGTCTCATTTTTTAAAGAAAGGAACATGACTTTGATTTTTTCTTTCTACTATATTTAACACCTAACCTATCTACACCGTTTAATTTAGTTAAATAATTTTTCAATTGTAGAGAATGTCTTCCTTGAGGCCGCTTGTAAGAGGGGTTCTTTTTCCACTCCTTAACAATAATAACGGCTCTGCAAAGCGAGACCGAAATGTCCCACGGGCTACATCGGGGACAACTCACGACAGTAAGGGTTAATAACTTTGGAGAGACCAAAACTGTCTGTAATAATAGTCATATATAAGACTAGACCCGAAGTAAGGGGAAAATACTTCGGAATACGAGTGGTAGGTAGATATACCCCGAATCCTCACATTAACGAAAATACAACGTGAAACATGAAATCATAAAAATGGGCGAGGCATATTTAGTCAAAGCTTCCTTAAGAGTGCGTGGATACAATAATTATCTCTGGCGCCTCGGAGTCATGAAACGACAACTTTAAATGTCAGTAGGGATCAATGGAGTGAGTTGTTCCTTTAGGCTGCATTAAACAAACTGAATTCGCAAGGCCATATAACATAAGCTGCGGCTGAAGTGGCCTTCTCTGACGAGCTTTCATTTTCGAAGTTTTACTGTGGAATTGTGTAGCTGTACCACTCCAAATAAATAAATACTACATCAAAATATTTAATTAAAATTAATTTTATTTGTTCATCTCACACCAGAGAACTGGAAAATGAGATTGAGGATTAAATTTACGTCTCAACCATTATTAATTTTGGAGTTATAGTTTCTAAATGACAGGAGACAGTTCAATTTCAAGTCAACAATTAAGTCACCAGATATCGTCTCTTCTGGCAGAATAAGACTCTGAACTAAGGACAGCAGAGAAAGTTAATTCTTTTAGGGTTCCAAACATATTAATGTGCTACGTGTATCCGTTTGCTCCTAGAGTTGCCTAAAGGTATAAAATTAAAAATAAGTTCAGTATACTCGTATATATAGTCACGATTCTGAGTGACTCTCGACGGGGTTCCGGATTACACGTTGGATTTATTGACCACTTATGGATCGTAACTAAAGTAACATACTCGTAGTCTCACTGAATTATACACTCCAAATATCACTGTAACTACAACACACAAAAAGTCTTCTCTGGCTTGACGAGACGCTTCCTGGTAATGGATTTCAACAGTGCAGATTCTTCAGCCCCCTTACAATTCTCTATCTAATTTCAACTGACTAACTCCAAGGCTGGCGGCCATTTCACAGCAACCTCCTAGTCTTCTCTTCACAGAATGACTTTCAACTGGGCACTGAACTCGTCTCTCCAAACAGTCCCGGTTATAACATCTCGGTACGGATCGCACAGAAAACACCATTCCTCGGTTGCTGTTCAGTTGCTTATTAAAAATCTGCTGCCTAGCAACGGACGTTGTTCCGTTGTTTCGCGGCTGTTGCCTAGAAACGAATGTTGTTTACAAGCCGTTCTCTAGCAACGACTTTGAGCAAATATTCCACAATATATTAGGCCTTTACGGGGGTGAGTGTTACACCCGTGGTCTTCTGGGTTATGACACCGCATAGTCTTGCTTGCGAATACGGACGTTTGGAAGTAAGATGCTTCCTCTATCTTCAGGGCTCAAGCACAGGAATAGACTGCGTTCTATAAGCAAGTTACGATGAATTCCGAAATTCAAATTTGCCTCCTGTGAGAAAAACTCACGGTTGCTCTGAGAAGATCCGTTTTTGTCCACTTTTCACACAATTCCACTTTCCTCCTAAAAACAACATTGGATCCCTGGTAAGGGCCAATTTTGTCGCTATATTTCCAACCTGCAACAATAAACAAGTGTGCCCCTTATAAAGATAGTTCTTGCCTGTTTCTTCACACTACCCCGGATAGGGCTCCCGTCTTTACTCCTTCTCCTGGGGTCTTGGGGTCTTCCTTCTCTGTATCTTGAATATAGTATAACCGAGCCTATTGCTGAGCCTATTCGCTTCAATGGTGATTACGGAAACATCCGTACGCAAGACTATATGGTGGGACAACCGAAAAGACCAAAATATTAGCGAAAAGTAAGACATATTCGTAGACATGCAATGAAAACGAAGCTTTCGCCACAGCTTTAGAGACCGCTAGCATCAATTTCAAGTGAGATATCGGAACCTCGCATTTCGGTAACATTGTGAGGCATTAATTGAATCAGCGGTTCCCAAATAAGAGGATGGTTTGAGGAGGACTGATTCCTGATTTGTTTTGCTCATTTTTAGCTTATTCAAGGACGCTGCCAGTAGTTCAGACTTCATAGCGCCGAATGGTAGAATGATCAGTGAACAACAAATTGGGAAAGATTCGGGATAAATCGGTCACGGCCTAATTCGAGGTACTATCCCAATATTTATGTGGAGAACTGAGGAAAATCACGAAGAATCTCAGCCAGAATAATTGCCCCGGAATAGATTATAACCAGACATCTTCTGAATGCAAATAAGAAGCATCACAGCTTCAGCCAATGTGGTCGGCGAGAGATTTCCTGGCCTGCCCGTTCATCCAATCTGTTTTTTCAAGTTTACGTACAGGCATAGTGTGCTTTTTAAAAGTGGCATCGCTACAGTTGCATGTGATGCGCTGGAGAATAAGAGGCGAAGATTGAGGTGCAGTTTGGGTGTATGACGAACTACAAACCGGTTCACATCGAAATATATCAAAATAAAGAAGGGCAATAGACCACTGAAGGTCGCAGTGCTAGGGCGAGTTTTATGGCTCACCCTTCATACTCATACTCATATCAGAATAAAGAGGTACACTGCTATCTGCAAGACAATATGTCATATCTCATAGAGGAAAAAGAATAAATTTGAAAAACCGGCTTACTTATGGTGTTCGTGAATAAGGTGCCGAGGAGAACATTTGTGCCCAAAAAGGAAAAAGCAGAAGACTAAAATAAGTTACATATTGTGAAGGGCCACAGCGCGAACTGTTCACCTAAAATAATTACCATGATATAATCACGGGAGATGACACGAACGGGGCAGTTAAGATGCAACAGAGGAGAGGGACATGCATATAAAGGTTTGGTAGAAAAAACTTGAAGGAATATACCACCTTGAAGATAGAGGCACAGAGAAAACAATAATATTAAAATGCATCTTATTCAGCTGGCTTAGGATATGGCCAATGGCGACCTCTTGTGAACGCAGTTATGAATCGTGTCGCACGAAGTGCTGGATATTCCTTCAACTGATGAAGAACAATTGACCTCTGAAGGACTCTGCTATACAGCTATACCATGTCTAAACCATCTGAGGTTGCGCCATCATCCAACAATGACGCACACTGTTACATCATCATCGTCGTCGTCATCATCATCATTATCATAAGTTCCTACATCATATTGAAATATACACTGATAACTCAAATTGCCATACCAAAGATCTCGATGAAAGTACAGAAATTTCCTCCATGACTATTCAAGGAGTAACGTACCTCAATGTTTGAAACAAAGCATAGTTAATAAGATCTAAAAGTTCGTGACGATAGTACAGTAATACAAATATTATATCATTATCCATCGTCCTGTTTTTAACACAACGTTTCCGGAGATAGGGACTAGCTCTATCGATTGGGCACAACTGAGTAGGTTTTACCTGAAGACGGAGAAAGCATCCACTATCCGCAAAGTTGCGTTTTGAAGAAAAACAGGACGACAAATAAGGTCCAGAAACATAATATTTGTATTAAAGCATAATTAGCTTTCTTTTACTGTAACTATGTATATTGCAGGGTGTAGAGTCGTTGCTATGTAACGATCACGAGATGGGCGGATATGCCAGGGCAGTCTCTGGGCAACGGCTAGGTAAATACCTTCCCACATAAATATACAAGAACGCAACGACAGAGGAGTTGTTTTCTATGTGGTCCGCGCCGAGATGTTATAAGGAAGGGGCAAGGTTAGAACTTAGTCAGTTCTGTACAGGAGTCTGACCTGAGGGCGTGAAGCTGAAGAATCTCCACGATTAGAAGTCGTTGCCAGGAAACGGATGGTGAAGACACAGGTTGGAAAAAGGCTTAGCGAGTTCTGTGATGATTTGTGAAATGTTGATATTAGCGGTGGCGCTGCAATTCCTTGTAGTACCGAGTCGTGTGTATAAATGGTCAATAAATCCATTCACCAATCCTAACTCCGTCTACAGCCACCATAATGTGACATCTTCACGAAAAAAACACTTACCTTACTAACACAGATGATGGGGACATTCAGGGCCTGCATTGACCATAGGATGTTAACAGGTGTGTAACCTCCCATGAGGATAACGCAGATTGCTAGGTAGGAAACGGTGAAGAGCACAGTCTCTTTGCTCGATCGCCCGAAGAACAGAACTAGTGCTCCGATGATGGCAGTTTGTGACGCCAGGAAGAAACCCTCACCCCACGCACTGAAACAAACTAACAGAATTACAACACAAATAACAACAAACATTTTAGTTGATTACGTTATATTTAACTAAATTGCATACCGTGTCTAAATCATCTCTCAGAATGCATCATCACATAGTGACGTAGAACATTAATTCACGCGTCACAATGGTAGGATTTCCATTCCGCAAGGTTGTCTACTCAGGATAAGATGTATCCTCAAAGTTGTTTTTTGACAAGCAATACAAAGCGTCCCTCAAGAAAACGTTAGGTAGCCTGATCAAGTGGCATAGAAACTTCATGCTTCTTCAGCGTGTTTGTACCATCTCGTCATTGGGCCCTATCATGAACTTGTCTAATCTTCGCGCATAATCCCCTAAAGCTCATTTTAATATTGTTTTCCCATCAACACCTACATTACCCAAGTGCTCTCTCTGGTAAAGGTACAGGTAAAGTTGTCCGTGTATTTAATTACGCCATGAAGGCGCCTTGGGCCCATCCAGCATCCTATCCAATGAGGACAGGTGGGTTCTCCCCTATGGGTAAAGCGGTCGGGGCGGCAAACTGATCACTCACCTCCATCTGCTGCCGAGGTAAAGAATGGTGCAGCTATACCTTCACTCCTCCATACGTCTTCCGACTAAAATTATATAAGCGTTTCTCATTTCCAACATGCAAACCACAAAACAGTTTCTAATGCTGCTTATATGATCAACAAATAATCACAAATAAACTATTTCTGGCAACTTATTTTCGTGAATATTAACTACTACAGGGTACTTTTATATTTAAGAAAAATCCCTGTCACTTGGTAGGTATCTTCTGAAAAGCGAAAATTGACAGTGAACACTGAGTCTTTAAAGACAGGCCGTGTAACTAGAGGGTGAAATTCTAACCTGGGCTGGAGCTGTGACCTCTAATTGAAAGAATATGAATACAATTTTTTTTTTTAATTGTTTCATTTTTGGTCCGTTACACTATCAATCACAAAGTCAATAGAAAGTCCGTCGAGTGTAACAATTTGTAGGTCACTTCTTTATCACTTCTGCCTTACATGTTTCGGTTTAATAAAACCATCATCAGAGGCACATAGTACAATCATGAAAACACTGTCGTTGTTTAAGATGTACACAGTTATGTTTGCTGCGTGGACGCTGCTACAATATGTCGACGTGTAAAAGCACAACACTTGCTAGGATTGTTGAATGCACTATCAATTCTCACATTCCATCCGAAACTGCCCTCAAGTTAAAACGCCAATGTTAAAATATTTAAAAATTTAAAACATTTGANTTATAGATTGGATTTATTGATCACTTATACACACCACTTGGGACTACAGACAATACAGCGCTATTGCTGATCTACACGCTTTGCAGTTCACCGTTACACACGCATTTGGGTACTCTGTCTTCCCTAGCCGTATCCTGGCAATGCATTTATACCAGTCTCACTGTAACATCAAATCACACAAGATGTCTACTTTACACCGCCTAACTCCTTTTCTTGCCCTTATTCTGCAACTGCCACTTCCGAAGACTCGACTCAATTCAGTTCTCTTGCTCCCAAGCTCATATCCTGGCAGGCTGGCATCTCGAAACTCGACTTAATTCTTCCCAACTGAACTCTTCTTTATAAATATTTTGCACGGACCACGAAGAAAATACGGCCTCTCTATTGTTAGGAAGGCGTGTTTACAGCGCCGTTGTATAGAAACGAAAGTTACTCGATTGTTTCTTACGTATTTCTTGCCGCGGGAATGTGTTTACCGAGTCGTAGCCTAGCAATGAACATTTATTCTAACTTCACTATTCCGGCTTTCGGACGTCATGTCACAATACTACAGGCGATAAAAGAGAGGTATACTGGAATCCTAATGCTCTCACGTACTGAACTGTCTAAGTAAAAATTTCGATATCCGATGACTGAGCTCGGGTAGGTCTGGACTGGATCAACAATTATTTTGGAACTGATTGGAAGTTATTTTAATACCGATCATAGAAACATTGGGTCAGAAGTTTAGAGGCAGATTCAAATGTTCAGGCATAGACACGAGAGTAATATCGACTACGACGGAAGTTACGTTATCTTTGTACTTACTTCAGCACCAAGCCAAGATGACGTGATGACGTAATGAGGAGTGGTGGTATAGTTTACGCATTCTTAAGCTCGGAGATTGGGTCGCCCCATAGCTCAAGCGGTTAGTCGCTGGCATCCGACCGCGGCGGCCCGGGTTCCATCCCGGGTTTGGTCAAGTGGGATTTGTGGTGGACAAAGTGGCGTTGTGGCGGGTTTTCTCCGGGTACTTCGGTTTCCCCTGCCAATCTTCATTCCACAATAGGCCAATCAGTGGCCGCCGTGCCGAGTGGACCCAGTTAGACTCCACCCCCCACTAAACGAATTAAAAATAAGTCTTTTTTAAGCTCGGAGCTACACGGGGAAGAGTGGTCAGCTTCAGGGATCGGCCGCCTTGTCTTGCGGGAAAAGCCTCAGGTATCCATTTGAACTGCAGGCTGGGTGGGCTCCAGAACCAGACTGGATGCGGAAATCAAACCACGGTCGTCCAGCTCATAGTCAAGCACTATACTCTGTTAGCATGGCATCTGTATTAACATCAGTCGTATAGAAATAAAGCACTGCGCCTTTGGGAGCAATTTAATATCTTAACAGTCAGATAAGAGTTGGCAGGATTGGAGGTTCTCACAGCGGTGGGTTATGCTGGGATACAACTTAGTGTAGTCCGCTGAAAGTCAACCGACGTTTCGGAGGAGGATGTCTGCCATCTGCTTTCAGTTTTATTGGTTGCTTATTCTTCGACTATGATGATGGAAGCGACATGTTCCTCAGAAACGTCGGTTGACTTTTAATGGACTATACGGCGATACATCCCAGAAGACAGAACTTTTCAGGTATGGATTTCTTGGTTCTAGTCACGTGTCGAACACAGGTTCTGTACGATAATCTTCAAACACCTCTCAGTCTCCTTCATACAGGTCCGCAGAACCTTACCCCCCCCCC